TAAAAGTAATTAGTAGTCGTAATAATAATAACAATAACAATAATAATAATAATAATAATAATAATAATAATAATAATAATAATAATAATAATAATAATAATAATAATAATAATAATAATAATAATAAAAGTAATTAGTAGAGACTTTGACGATCAAACCCATCAAATAAAACGAATTGATTCCTGTGAAAAAAGAGGTTTTGTACAAGGGTGAATAGAGAATGAGTATTCCACGGCCGGGGACCACCGGAAAGAGTGGTGGCGAATCACAATCACCGCCTTTGACGGCGGCGTAATCAATTCCGCACCTTCTCAAACTTGTTCTAATGACACATTATAATCACTTACCCACTTTATTCTTAGCCACCACCAAATATTTTATATATGATTCACTATATAAAATACATAGATCTTAGACGTAAAATTCACATTTCACGATTTTATCAGTTTTACGCATCACAACACTTTTAAAATCAAAATCAAATTTTCTGATCAATTATAAAATCGACTATTGAGAAAAATGCTACAATCCCGTTACGGAACCATTCCGTCGGGATTTGTATCGTTAGATCATCATATAACCGTCATAGATGGTTGATCTAACGGTTACAAACCTCGACAGAATTGTTTCGTAACAAGATCGTAGAATCTCCCATCTAGCCTTCATTAATTCTACTGGAAATATTTGAAAGGGTGACGTTTGTATTGAAGATTTTCACAAGACAAAAAGTGTCCGAGTGCCATATTTTTAGGATGTGGACCACATAACAAGGCAACACAAAAGCTATTCAATATGGCCACAGTTTACTCGTTTTCATTTTCTTGATACTTAATAAAAAAAAAAAAATCCATAAAAAAGTACAATTTCATGATGGGAGTCTAATTATTGACCATACAATTACATATAAATGGTACATAAAAGCTAAAAATAAATCCCATTAATGACATGTTAAAAAGGCCCCCTATAGGCTATATCTAGAAAAATTGTAAAAGGGTTTCCAACTAAGCAAGAAATATGATAAGTTTGCAAAAGCCACCCTCAAAATTTAGTCAAATTACAAAATCAACACTCAATTTTTATATTATGCACATGTTTAGAAAAAAAAAAATATATACAACTGCGTGTCTGTCTAACCGTTAGATCTGTCTAACAGTAGTCTGACTCCCGTCTCGAAAGTTTTCCTTCTCTATTTTTTCCTAATGAATCTAAAAAAAAGTGACAGTTGCAACTCCCAAAGGTGAACTTGACATGTCTTTGAGACTATGACTTGAATGCTAGCCATGTGAAATGTTTTAAAAGGCTTAGGGATGGGAATGTAAGAGCCAAAAAACAATAGTCTCTCAACATTATTTCAAAAGCAATCACACTAGCAAGCAAAACAAGAACTTTATTAATGATTCAACTAAAACTCAAACAACCTAAATAAAAAGAGAAACCCCATGCATGTGCTAAATTATCTCATACAGAAGAACAACTTCAAGACCACATGGATGTTGTTTAGCCATATGAAAGTCAAATCACCTAAAGCCATGTGCATTTATAACCTTTAATTTGACACCTAAATATGTCCATTGCCATCAAATTACTATCCAACAGTAATTAGAACACCACAAAAAGAGAATATCAAAACCTTGCTCATTCATAGATAGAGATACAATTATATACAAAAGTACAGTCCAAACCAGAAAAAGAAAGCTTACCTCATATTCCCCACAAACCAAAGAAAGCCAAAAAAAAAAAAAGAGAGAGAAATTAGTATAGAATTTACAGAAAAGACCCTCACCTCGAAGAAAACGATTATCACGCTGTGTGCGTTAGATTAACGACCCTATTCAGCCTCTCGAGAATCCCATTCGCCTTCCTCTTAGCCCTCGAGCTCCCATTCCTCGCGAGCCGAGATATAGTCCGGTTCAAATTCTCCTCCTCCTTAACCTCCTTCAACTTCGACCGATCATTATAACAGATTGTGTACAAAATCGCCACACAATTCTCCTGGTTTCGAGCGCACGAGCTCTCCCTAATGATCCCGAGCAAGCAAGAAACTCCACCGAGTTCGCCCATTTCCTCCACCGCCCTCTGATTGGTCGAGAGCATGGCTAAAATCGACAGCAGCTCATCCACAATTATCCCTCCCACAATCTTTTCAAGAATTACCCGAATTACCCCTTCACTAACGGCCCTCGTCTTATTCTCGTGAATTACGCACAAGTTGAAGATAGCCGAGGCCACGTCTTTCATGGCCAAAGGGTGCCCCTCGTCCAAAAGATCGATTAAAGGTTTCAACGCGCCCGATTTCCCGATAAGGGCTTTATTCGAGTCGAGAGCCGATAGCACGAAAATCGCAGCGGCTGCATTCGAGCGTGTCTCGATTGTCCCCGAGTTTTTGAGTGCGTTCATCAAAATATCGATGACACGAGGTGTTTCGGCCACGAGCTTCTTGTTGCTATCGTGGATCGAGATATTGAGGAGGGTGGTGATTACATCTTCCTGAATGTGGTCCGGGTGAACCCGAGAAAGAGGGAATAATAGCTTGGGAATGGAATCGTGGTATTCGCTGAAAAGGGCTCGGAAAGATGGGTTCTTTTTCGTGAGGAGGCGTAGTTGTTTTGCGGCCTCTTTCTGTTCGGGTAATGGTAATGAAGAAGACATTTTCTCGAGCAAGGATATGAAAAGGTCTTGATCAGCCTGTGTTAGGCTGTACTCGTTCGTGTACTGGTTCGGGTCGGGTAAGGTGATGCCGTTTTTTTTGCAGTGTTGTGCGATTATGGTGCGAATGAGGTGATTTGGCGTGAGAATGGTGTGTGAGAGGACTTGCTCGGTTTTGGGGCAAGTTCTGTTCCCGGTTTTCAGCCATTTTTGGATGAAGGGCCTGTCGAAAGTCTGGAGATTTTGTAAGGGGAAACAAAAAAAACATCAGAGATTGAAAATGGTGATTGACAGTGTTCTCTGAAAAAAAAAAAAAAACACACTGAATTTCTCCTGAAAATAAAGAATTCAACTAACATAGATAATTCGAAATTTTCACTGAAAATTTCATATCCACGACAAAAATTCTCACAATTCCAACCAAAGCAAGATGACAATTAATATTGAAAATCTAAAAAAAATAAACAGAACAAAATGGATAATTGAATTAAAAAAAAAAACCTGTCCGGTGGCAATAATCACAGGATCCCTCATGAGCTCCTTCGAAAGAGGGCATTTGAACTCCTCCGGCGCCGCCAAACAATCAATTTCCCAATTACACCGGCGATTTCGCATCTTCACGGCCGCGGCCCTCTTCAATTTCGATTCCTTCAGAGCCAACAGCAATTGCTGTGCCTTGTCGACCGCCGCCAAATTGACATCGTCCTCCTCCGCAATCGCCCACACCAGTTTCTTCAACTCTTTCTTCAGCTCCGACGATCTCACCTCCGCCGCCGCCGGCGGCGGCGGATCCCCTTCAAACACCCCGCTCTTCGGCATCACTCCACTCAAATTATCCAAAATTAACAATTATTCCAAGCTATTGCACTTGTGCTACACATATCCTCATGAATTTTCCTTCAGTTTTTCATTACTATTAATTATTTCTTCTCACTCTCTATCTCTCTTTTTTTTTCTGTTTTTTTTTTTCCTTCTGCAGAGGGTCAGTTGAGTATGGTATAAGCATGGCAATGAAGGGGAGAATAAGATACTTATAACAATATTTAGTATATTTTTATTGTGAAACATACTTAAATATAATTTTATTGAAGTATTGACAGTAATTGAAAAAGAAGGGAAATACTATAGTCCCATTACGAAATCATCTCGTTGGTTATTTTAACCGTTGGGTCGTCTATTTTATACTAACTATATATGTATTTAATGGTTAAAATTCCCGACGGAATGGGCTCGTAACGGGATTTTAGCATTTCTTGAAAAAGTATTGATTGTTATAACATCTTTGTATATCTTTTGAATACAAATACCCATGAAAATACAAAATTATAATATAACTATAGACATAGTAAGTAATTGAGATGTAACACTTAGACTCAGCACATTCGAGAATGATAGATATGAGCGAATACTACTTAAAATTGACTGGGTTATTTTAAATCGTAATGGATAAACATAAATAGTAGTTAATTATAAAGAAAAACCATGATAAACATTTTAATCTTTGGATTTTTTTTTTTTCCATATAATTGATAAACGAATTACAAAATGTGCAAGATAATTTTTTCTTTGTTACTAATTTAGAAATATTCAAAATAATAAGCATTGTACTCTAAAAATTGTCATAATCATAAATACAAGTATAATATTTGGACAATATAGGAAAATGCTACAGTTCTATTACAGAATCATTTCGTCGAGATTTAACCGTTAGATCATCATGTAACTATCGTGGGTAGTTGATTTAACGATTATAAATCTCGACGGAATGATTCCGTCCTGATAATATTAATATATATTTTCATAAAAAGAAATATCAAATTTTAACTCATTTGGTGTAGACGGGTGGCTCAAAGGTTTTCATTTTTAAGTGTAGTCGAAATTCTATGGAGACATCTATAACTTTATGTATTTACATATGTTCAATATATATTTAATACACAACACGTGTCAATACATCATTTATAAATACTTATAGATGACTCTCTAACCCGAGGAATCCAATGGCTCCATAACAAAACACGGTAGTCAAATAATTCAGGTATATGTTACTTTTCTGCATTTGGCTGGGAACAGAAACTATAGAGAACAAAAAGTATGAAGTTTCTCGACTGGTACTTGAAGATAGCAGCCGTTTCAGCCTTGATCGGAGGTTCCATGGAGCTATTCATGATCAAATCTGGCTTTTGTGTGAGAACTCTCCTTTGCATATATACTCTCTTTCTCTCGCATTCACTTCTCTAACTTCATCGAGCTTCGCCATGCTTCTGCTTAATTTTCATGGAGGAAAACCCATATCCGATTACTTCACAAGTTAATTTAAGTGTACTTAGCTCGTCTTTTCAATTCGGACATTATTATTGGCACTGATTATGGTAGGGTTTTAGCCGCTTTTGGTATTACACTTTGTAAATCGAAATTGGGCTGCTTTACCCTAATTTCATATCCGCTCAAAGTACGATCTTTAACTTGAAGAAATCTATGGTTGGCATGAAAATGCGATTTGAACTCTGGTATTGGTGAATTTAAAATTTATATGATTTCTCATTTGAATGGCCGGTTTTGCGAGCATGGTAGTCGAGCCAAATCAGTGTCTTAATTAGCCAGATTTGTTTTTTTTATTTGAATGTTGATTAGCCAATTGGTGTGAATGAGTGTTGTTGGGTAACTCAGTACTGAACTGCTGATAAATCTCTGTTTGTTTTAAGAAAATTTCTTGCTTTCATGTTAAGTTACTAGATTTTAGTGTCGTTTGTTGTTCAGTTTTGTTATCCTTTTTTTTACTACCGATGCTGATTTTATTTGTGATTATTGTTAAGCTGCTTATTTATGTGGACGTTTTTCGCAGATGATAAAGTGACAGTTTTGGAATCAGAGAAGAGGGCTTGGGAGAATTCGCCTGAAGCTAAAGCAATTAGAGATTCTCTCAATCCTTGGCGAGATCATGATAACCGAGAAAGAAAGAGTTCTTAGTCATTTTTCGAAGGTCTGGGTTACAATTATCTTCTTATAATGACATTTGGATTTATGAATTTAGTTGAGTTAAAAAGTTTCAATTCTGATGACATATCATGAATAAAGATCATTACACAGTGGGTTCCAATTATTTAAAGTACTGTTGTCAGCTAATATTCGAGTCATTGTGGTGTTGTTTCTATGTCATCGTATAAAATTTGAAAGATATATCTGAAATCCTCTGTTGGTATCAAATTTCTTTTGACCAAATGAAACTTGAAAACATTGGTGTATAAATTGATTGGAAGGATCTCTGAGTGTCTTGTAAGTAGAATTATTTCAAAGAATTAGTTAGAATTAACAAGGCAAATATTTGGTGTTGGTTTAGCTTCTTTAGAAGCCAAAATGAAAGTTGAGGTCCTCTCCATTTGTTACTTGTTAGCAACCTTTTTCTTTTTATTCGTCGTTGTATCTACTGCTTCAAGCAGGTGTGTTTTGTAGGAGAAAGTTATCAAAGTTGGAGCTGAACACCAGAATCTATCGACAGTTCATGTGATGTCTACCCCAAGTTCATACAATTTTTCTTTGGTTATGTTGGAAGAAGATAAAAGTTGTCCGTAGTTCTTGAAAAGACTAGTTGTTTCGAGTCTCTCTTGCTTTGTGATTGATATTCTTTTGTTTAGGGAATATAGTGCAACTAGGATGCCTTTTGTGTCAAAGCTAAGCTGAGATTGATCCTTCAAATATATTTTTATATATTAATATATATATATTTGAATGGAACTTTTGTTTTCTTCTTTTGTTAGTTTCATTTTGTTCTACGATATTGTTATTTGTGCTTGGGTTGAATATATGCGTACTGCTTAGTTGATCGGGTAGATTTCAAGAAGACGAGGATATTATCAACCAAATGCCTTTGAAAACCAACAAGTTGTTCTGGGGTCTTCTTTGCTCGGTGGACGCCAAATTCATGGGAATCACAGACTTGTCGAGCAGGCGGCTCAAGTTTTGTTCCACATTGAGCCAGAAAATGCGGCTACTTACGTGACTCTAGCAAATACTTATGCAAGTGCCGGAAAATGGAGCGATGTTGCTAAAATTAGAAAATTAATGGATGAGAATTGAGTCGTAAAGAAACCCGACATGAGTTGGATTGGTGTTGAGAAGAAGATTCATGTTTGCTTGGTCGGAGACCAATCCCACCGGAAAGCGAGAAATGTTCAATTTTTCGGGGAAAGTATCCATAAGAATGAAGGAAGAAGGTTATGTTCCTTACACGTTCGAGTCATACAAAGGGTAAGCACAGAACTACTGTTGATCCTCTTTAAATAAAGAGAAGGTTATGTGTAGAAAATTAATGGATGAGAATCGAGTCGTAAAGAAACCCGACATGAGTTGGATTGGTGTTGAGAAGAAGATTCATGTTTGCTTGGTCGGAGACCAATCCCACCGGAAAGCGAGAAATGTTCAATTTTTCAGGGAAAGTATCCATAAGAATGAAGGAAGAAGGTTATGTTCCTTACACGTTCGAGTCATACAAAGGGTAAGCATAGAACTACTGTTGATCCTCTTTAAATAAAGAGAAGGTTATGTGCCTCACACAAACTATGTACTGCATGATGTGGAGGAGAAGGTTATGTGCCTCACACAAACTATGTACTGCATGATGTGGAGGAAGAGTAAAAGGAGTAGAGTTTATCGTACCATGGCGAAGAACTCGCGGTAGCATTGGTGTCATAAGTTCTCGACCGGGTACATTGATTAAGGTTTTCAAGAACCTAAGGACACGTGTGTAGGTTGTGTAGGTTGTCATACGGTGATTAAGTTCATCTCCATAATTTCCGATAGGAAAATAATCATAAGGGATTCAAGTCGGTTTCATTGTTTCGAGTCGGGAAGTTGCTCGTGCTGTGATTATTGGTGATTGAGGTGTAATGTTATTTGTTGGCCTTGCCTCTTATTCTTGGTTTTGCTGCAAAAGCAAGCGATTGCCGATTAACTGCAAATTGGACCTGCAAAGAGGGTGGGCTTGAGCACTTTGGAGGTCATTCATGCCTTCTTGGTGTGTTTGTTCATAAATTATTTTGATTCATACTCAAAATCTAATTCAATTTCAATTCAATTTTACCATTCTCAATATTATCAATGTAAATAAATAATACCAACTAATCATTTTTACATATCATATCAATTATAATTAATTATTCATCAACTCACATAATTTTAACTAACAATCACTTCACATAATCTATCTAATTCTTTTATATCAAATTAATTTTAGTTATTTTATTGTAAACTTAAAATTCCACTAACTAATCATACTACTTTTTAAAAAATTAACCATGATTAAAAAAAAAACTCGTTTTGAATGGATATATTTGTATAGAAGCCTGCCGCAAGGGGACGTGGTTTCACATGCGTCTAATCTTAAGCACAGTACTAAACAAAAGACTTGTATATATTAACTGGTCATAACTCATATGTAAGTGTTCAGTCTTTATTAATTATTATTTATAATTTTACAACTCAATAAAATATATTGACAATACATTGGTGGAATTGTCCAGAGTACTAATGGTTATTTCAATAATATATTTTGAGAAATAAATTAATTGGATATAGTTTATCTAGAAATAATTAATTAATAGGATAAGTTAGATAAAGTTCATCTACTTCCGTTGAAATGTAGCATATATTAGGATCACGCTAAAAAATTAAAAATAAAAATAAATTAATAAGATAAAATATTATATATATATTATGTCCAGACTAAAACAAACATGATAGTATTACATAGATTATAATTTTATTCAACATAATAAATATTAGATAAAAAAAATGAAATGAAGAAAAGTTGTATGAGGAGG